CCTATGACTCAACAAAGAAGAAAAAGAACGACGAAACAACTAAGTCTTCACGCGATGTCTTCTCTTGTCATAGTCTTCAATGTGAATGTCTTCACATACCACCTTTGACTTCAATATCTTCTTACATTTTTAGGGGTCATCTCTGGTAGGAAAGCCGAATCAATGAGGGACTTCTACCTGTGTTATCCTGCAATTCTCACAAACACATTAGTCCCTCAACCAGGTTTGTCGTCAATACTCCAAAACCAACTAGGGGTGGCACTAGATGCACTTACAAGCTCCCACGTGCACTTTGTCCATTTTAGCATGCCGTCGTGCCAAGTTTTCTCTCATGTGTTCACACTTGGAGTAAAAGACAATGATCTTACCGTTTGAGAGTTTATGGGCTAAAGTGAACCAACTTGTCAAGTTAGGAAACCCGGGTACATTCTACTCATACTAATATTTCTTTAGACTCAGAATATTGCCGTTAAAAATATGTTTGGAGAACTATCCTTTAGTTACTCGAGTGATCCTTTGCGTATGGCCACAAGACAAGTGAGAAGAAATAAGGTGGCACCCCGTTATGTAGAGCAAATTATTGCTCAAGATTATATTTCAACCCGAGTAATCAAGGAAGTACACCCTGCTTACAAAAATTCCAAAAATGGAATTGATCTACAGATCATCTGCAGTGCATATCCAAATTATCAAACTTTATTGAGCCTTACCACTAGTTATGGCAAATCTTTGCGTGTGACAAGTATCATTTCTCAACCTCCTCAAAGTTTCTGCGGCAAACAGTTTCAGGGAATAATTTATTAAGGTTCTAAGACAACCTAAACACCAAACTCATGCACAAATAGCTTCTCTTTCTTATTTATTACTTCATTGTACCATGGTATCATGTTACTACTTCATTGTCTTAAACTAGTATCTTATTTATTATGATATGGTACTATGGTACGATACTAATAGCTTCTCTTTCTTCAGTTTATATTGCCTCATGTCATTCATATGACTAGTTGGCATTCCATAAGGATGCATGGTACTATTTTATGATACCTCACTCTCGGAGGTATTAGGATTGCTTGGAATTTTCGTGAGTTATCTAAAGATGGTTTCATGGTGGTGATGTGACTTACTGTTTGATTTTTTTGAATAAAGGGTGAACTTAGTAATATAGCATTAAGGGGATACTTGGCATGATAAGCACATACACGAACTCTGCACTACTAGAGTGCACACATGATAATTTGAACACGCACACACACCATAGCAAGCAAAGTCATGAGAGACCAAAATTACTAAGCATAAGTCGTAGGTGTTGGATGGCATGTCTGAAGTCCTGATTGCATCCAGTCCAGCACACTCACATATCCTAATGCTTCCAAATCCTAGTTATGTGTGGGTTTTGGCAGCGTGCAAAGCATGGTGTGATGATACATAGCAATGGGTAAGCTCTAACCTTGCTCAATCATGGCATGATGATACATAGCAATGGGTAAGTTCTATTCCTTGCTCGGCTCGGGTATGCAAGATTTCTTCCTTGTGAATTATGATCATGTTCCATGTGTTCTCACACTTAAATAGGATCACTTCATATCATGTGGTGCAACTTTAATGTGGCTGGATGCTTATGTGTAATTCAATATTGCTATAGAGAGCACATGAGCATTCATGTACGTTCTGAGCGTCCCCTTCATCAATGAAGTAGCCCTATAGTAGACGCGTTGATCTATCAATTCAGCTCATAGCGCAACTTCTTTATATAGTGACATTTTGAGAAAGCCTTTGCGACCGTTGTCGGTTTACTGAAGAAATAAACATCCTTAAGCAACGAGAATCTTTCTCTCTTTTTTAACTGAGCAACCAGAATCTTTGAAACACAATCACATATGGACCAAAAGTTATTCGACGATCTTTTGGTAAAAGTCTTACCTAATTCTCTTCAAAGGAAGATGGAAAGGATGTGAGTAATACTTTAGTCAACACGAATGCACGGTCCAACACCAATCTCCATTCAATCAAAGCATTGCAATGTGTGGTGGTGTTTTCATTCTCGATCGTCACCTCCTCGCCTCATACCTGGGTATCCTGGATCGGACGATGACGACACCTTCAGCGTCGTTCTCCCTCCTGGGGGCATCGTTTTGGAGCAAGTGCTAGCTGGAAAGGGAGGGAGGTGGAGCAGTGTTGCATCTTCGGCATCGAGTAGAGTGGATATCGGCGGCGTGCCGCAGTGGGGTCTCGGTGCTGGAGCGTGTTGATGGGCACGCGCAGTAGGATGACGCTGTCTGGCATCATGGCGGCGTCGACGGCAGAAGCGTCTGCCAACGTCAATGCATTGAGCACTCCTAAAGATGGGACAACGGAATATAGCGACGACGGAGTATTGAGCGCGTGCATGTGGTGCGTGTTTAGGGTCTGCTAGACCAGTTGGTGCTCCCGGCTAGCCAGCAGGCAAATTGATGAGACCACCAGATCTCATGGTGTGTGTTGATGAGAGATCAGAGCACATCATCAAATTTGTAGGTATGATGACAGTGTTTGTCAGGAAGATGACTTTGAGTTGTCTCATGTATTTACTTTGCAAGGTTTTGTTTAATAATTAAATAAAAAACTTTTCGACAAAATAAACGTCCTCACCTCATGATCTTCGTTGACGGGTGAGTGGGACAACACACAAGTAGTTAAATGGATTTATAAATACTTTATATCTTTGTTGTTTGTTAAAAGGACAAGGGGTAGCCCGGGTGACTAGCTCTGCACGTGCACTTTATTCATTTCAGCATGTCATCGTGGCAAGTTTTCTCTGATGTGTTCACACTTGGAGTAAAAGACTTTGATCTTACCGTTTGCTAAAGTGAACCAACTTGTCAAGTTAGGAAACCCGGGTACATTCTACTCATACTAATAATATTCTTTTCGTTTCTAAATATTTATCTTTTTATATATTTTAAATGGACTACCACATATGAATGTATATAGACATATTTTAGAGTGTAAATTTACTTATTTTTCTTCGTATGGAGTCATTTGTTGAAATGTTTAGAAAGATAAATATTTAAAAATGGAGGGAGTATTTTTTTAGACTCAAAATATTACCATTAAGAATATATTTCGAAACTATCCTTTAATTACTCGAGTGATCCTTTGCATATGCCCACAAGACAAGTGAGCAGAAATAGGGTGGCGCCCCGTTATTTAAAGCAGTTTATATGACTTCTATTTCTATTGCCAGGTCCTGGATTTTGTTTGTGAGCCCCCGCGTCGCCTCCCGCTAGGACGACTCGGGCGGCACCCAAAAACCTAGCCGCGCGCCAGCCCGCACTCCCTCCTCCCCTCCCTCCGCCGCCGTCGGGGGACGTCGCCGGTCTCGCGGTGGCGAGGGACATCACCTATCTCCCGCGTCTCTAGGGTTGTGCGGAGTCCCGATTCGTATGGAGACGCGCCCGATCCGATCTGCGGCGCAGCGGCGTCGGCGGCGGCGCAGCGGCGTCGGCGGCGGCGCGGGACGTGGGCCCGACGGCGGCAGCTCGCCATCTGCCTTTGGATCGGTGACAGCGATGTGGAGGGCCTGGTGGTAGCGTCGGCGGCACCTCCAGTCAGATCTGTTCTGGCTGGTGCAGCCGGCGGTGGTGGTCATCTCTTTAGCCAGAGGTGGTCGGGCCGCGGCTGGGTGGTCGGATCTCGAGATTCGTCACCTAGTCCTGGCTTCGAGTCGGGGAGACATAGTTGCCGGTGAAAACCGAGTCGTTGGCGGGCGATGGCGGCATTTTGCGCCGTTACCTTGATGAAGGCATTGTCGTGTAACTGTTGTCGACCCACTCGTGTTGCTTCGAGGGAAAACCTAGGATCTGGTCTTCTAGATCGGACGATGGCGGTAGTACGGTGTCATTTCTCTCTTAGAAGCATCGTTTGTGGAGCAGCGTTTGAAGACAGAGGTAGGAGGTGGAGCGGCTTCCTCTTGCACGAAGCTTCGGTGGAGCTGTCAAGTCTTGCCTGGCTGACAGGTGCTACGCTGAGTCATGCCTGGTTAGCAGGTGCTACGCACGACAAATCTTCCAGTCTTCGCGTCTGGAGGGCGAGCACAGGGTGGTGGCGCCGTTGGGCGCCATGGTGGCGTCAACGGATGTCCGAATTGACAAGGATGATGTGGATCTCTCTCATAAAGATGGATCAGTGGTTCGATAATGATAACGGTTCCTAAAACATGTGCATGTGGTGTGCGCTTTAGGTAGGTTGCATCGGATGTTGGTCCTAATACGTTATGTGGATGGATTGGCGACAACACCAGTTTTAGATATGAGGAATGAGAACACTCCACATTATCGAGTATGTAAGTATGAGTGGTGGCTTCGGATGGATTGATGTATGTTCTTGTCAATCCTTTATAAAATAATTAATAAAAATGGTTGCATGCATCGATTGATGCATAGGCCTAAGGTTAACCTCCTTCTCTTAAAAAAAAGTAAAGCAATCTATTGCTCAAGATTATATTTCAACCCGAATAATCAAGAAACTACTCCCTGCTTACAAAAATTGCAAAATGGAACTGATGTACTTCCTCCGTTTCAAAATAGATGACTCAACTTTGTATTAGTACAAAATTGGATCATCTATTTTAGAACAGAGGAAGTACATATCATCTGCAGTGCATTGCCAAAATTTTCAAACTTTATCGAGGCTTACCACCAGTTCTGGCAAATCTTTGTCGCGTGACAAGCATCATTTCTCAACCTCCTCTTAAGTTTCTGCGGCAAACAGTCTCAGGGTATAATTTATGTAAGGTTCTAAAACAGCCTAAACACCAAGCTCATGCACACACAAAAATGCTATATTCCCTACTCCCTCCGTTCCAAAATAGATGACTCAACTTTGTACTAAATTTAGTACAAAGTTGAGTCATCTATTTTGGAACGGAGGGAGTACATCTCAACGACCAAATATACAACATCGACGACGATAATGGCAGACCAAAACAAAGATCAACTCAACACAAGAGACCATAGATAAGACTATGCACACTTCTGATCTGCAACTTCTGGCCAACGGTTTCCTGCTTCATCAATCCTCTCTACCTCTTTCGTTACGATATACTACAATATACACACACACACACATGACATATGAACAACAGAGCGTGGCGATGACTTGGTATCAGACCTGGCACACCATGCCTACCTCGAGGGTCGAGGCATGAGGTATGTTAGCCGCGGTGACAGAACCTCGGCTGTTCCTCCTCAGGAACTCGTAGATGTAGTTTATGGCGATCTTCTTCACCAGGCCAGACCCGCTCTTCGCCCTCATGTGCGCGCGCCCCGTGATGAAGGACATGCCTGCCTCTCTGGCATCCGTCAGCTCCTGCAGCTCGCTGCGGACCTCGCCGTCGATCTTCGCGTCCTTCGGGAGCGCGAACCTCACCCTCTTCGCCTTCGGTCCTACCGCGTTCTGGTACGTCTCCTTGCCCGTGGACAGTATCGACGAGTCTGACCCGTTGATCTCACTGTCATCGTCCTCCTGAAATGGTAGGCCTTTGCTGATGGAGGACAGCCTCTCACAGGCATGGTCCGTGGCACCGTCCAGAGAGCCGTTTTGGTCGTCGGAGTCGCCGCAGTGGATGAACTCTGCAATGCTGCACACTAGGTCCTTCTCAAACTCTATGTCATCCTTCGGCACGTCGCGGTATCCGTATCGGACAACCACCCTGTATAGACGGTACTGTTTTGGGCCGACGCGGCCGACCCAAAATCGCTCCTCGGGTCGGATGTGCGGTATAGGCACTGATTTAATGCACAGAAAGACCAGAACCTGGTGAAAGATATAATTTACCATTTTAGAAGTTCACTAGATGCACGTAACAATGAACTAAGATTAATTATTTAGCAGAGTGTATTGGGGAAAGCATAAAGAATAGAGATTGGTGTGTATTCTGAAAACAAAAATGTAGAAGTTGATGAAGATACCTGGTGAAATGCAGGCAGATTGGTGACAAAGTGAGAGAAAATGGCTGGAATCCCAGACATAAGCTCTGTATGTATCAGACCAATCCCTCGGACGCGAACAATCCCCAATGAAGGGCCGAGATTCAAGAGCCAACTTATAGAGACCTTGTTTTCGACATCAAACTCGTACTTCTTTATGGCACCATAATGCCACACGCACATCATTATCATGAAAAATAAGGAGAGCATGATGGTTACCCAAGCCCCTTCCCGGAACTTCACAAGGGATGCTGAGAAGTAAAGAACTTCAATTGCACCAAAGAATAGAAGGAACACGAGAGAAAACACTATGCTCTTGTTCCAGCAAAGAACAATAACCAGTGACATCAAGCAAGTAGTGACCAGCATTACAGTTATGATCGCCAGACCTGTAACAAGAAACACACATAAGCTAGGCACCTGAAGTTGACCGTAAATTTATATACAAAAAATTAAGATAAACAGAAGAGCTTCCATCCTGTGACTGTTTACGGTAATGAGAAAATATGCCGTACTCTCCTGAACTGAAATTATATACATATCTAACTGTGCTCTTTACCTTGTGCATTTGTCAAGTGCTTTGTATCTCTGAAGCCTATAGTAACAGCCAGGCATAGTATCATCAAGATCCAATTGATCTCTGGTATGTATATCTGACCATGTACTGTAGATGATGTATGCACAATCTTCACCTTTGGGAAGCAACTTAAGGAACAACACTGTTTGATAATTGAGAATGTGCCAGTAATAACTGCTTGACTCCCAATAACGGCTGCGAGTATTGCAATCACCAGAACAGGCCATCTGATTTTTTCTAGAAAGAGATTATTGCATAAGTATAGATATTAAAAGGGGGTACTTGTTATACAGTTATACTCACTTCAGTGTTTACCAATGAGGGTGAAAATATAAACATAAATAGTACCTGGGACTGATACGTAGAATCCAATATGATTAATATTCTCAAAATTGTGATGTCTTGAAATGTAAGCAGCTTGTCCCATATATGCCAGTATCAGAGCTGGGTACACTAAAGATGTGAAAGCTATCTGTTGGAAGTAAAGCATAGGGGTAAGGGATTCTGCACTCGACACAAATAAGTACTTATGGTGAAGATCACCAGAGGAAGGATGGTGGTAGCGCATATTAATTCCTAAGGACTAGTTTTTTATTTATCATGCGGCTTTTGAAGCATTCCAAATTGAAACATCCTACAAAATGCTTTCTGATATAGGTATTACCAGAGCATCTGTGTTAACATAGAGAATTGGGGCTTAAATGATGGAAAACAATAGACATTTCGATATTCCTATTCATAAGTGTAGTTAAAAGTGAACATCATCAAATAGTTTACTCAATGAAATGAAGTAATCAATCATTATATTGAACTGGCTCTAAGTTTCATTGGCTCTTCCCCCTCAAGTACAATTGTACACAAAGCAGAGCTTAGTCAAGTGAGCAACTTCTCTCAGCACGGCTGCTACTAGCTTAATAAACACCGCAAAGTAGCACATGTTATTGCCTGTACAATGATTAGGCAGAGTACATGGGAGTACTTACTTCATAATCAAACGGAGCAATATCCGTTGTCACCGATTAACACAGCAACTAAATCAGCACATGTTACATAGTCTGAGAAAGTTAAACTCAAGCTGCCCCATCTAAATTCGCGTAATCAACTACCGCTATACTCATTGACCCCTTCAACAAAATGGAAGTTCAAATTCAGTTAATACATTTTTTTTTGCTTGAACAGTGTTATCCAATTCCCTAATTTATCTGTATTTTTTAAAGTTCAAGTCCTTACATAAGTATTTGGTTTTCATATATTGCAGAACTGTATCATATAAGAACTTTGATTATTCGTTTAACTATACCACACAGCGCCTCTTACTTCAACAATGTGGCCTTTGTACTCTTTGTAAAAATGGTAGACATTTAATGCATATGCTCCCAGCAAACAATTAAAAGTCACTAATTCTAAGGCAAAGGGATGGTAATTCATGCCATGTGGCAAAACAAATATCCGCACACTCATCTCGTACCTTGATTGAAGACTGAGAGAAATGTCCAAGGTCTGCATACATAGCTTCAGAACCTAATAGTTCGAACAGATATACATGTGGTCAACTTATCATCATCATCCATTTAAAGTGGCGGAGTCAAATGGCGCATAACGGCTATTTTCGGCCCTTACCCGTTACGCATAGAAGGATCCCACCCAGCGACATCCAGCCACCTCTCTGAGTCTTCTGGAGAAATTTGTACGCGTAGTATGGCGAAAGAGCTCGATACACATGGGGATTCCAGTGGAGGATGTTGTAGAGCCCTATGATGCTGATGCAGAGAAGCCACAAGCAAACGATGGGCGCGAAAAGGAAGCCGACCCGGTGTGTGCCGTAGTGTTGCAGGGTGAATAAACCCACCAATATAGCGCATGTCACCGGTAGCAATATATCTGAAAAAAACAACATGTCACAACTCATCACAAACCCTCAACACAATATTCAGAAGAAGAAGATAAACATCAAAACAGAAAACAGCAAGTAATTAAATAAATTTCTGGAAAATTTATTTAGTCTGAGTCCAAAAACATAGCAACCACAAATCGGTATTGAGCAATCCTAAACGAAAGCAGAGCAAGCAATTGGCTTACATTCGTGCTGCTCATTGTCCAGCTCCAGCTCCAGCCCTGAAACCGCCGAGAACACTGCAACAGAGAGGAACAAGAAGGCGTCAGGCTCTGACATGGCATCAACCAATGCTACACCAAGGGCGTAACTGAATCTCGGAGGAAGGACGAGGAGGGAGGAGGGAGCGACCAGAGACGGCAGGGGTGAGCACGCCGTCGCCGATGACCATGCAGGTCCCGAGCAGGGCGAGCAGCAGCAGCAGCCTCTGCAGGACCCTGTGGCGCTCCAGCGCGGCGCGCACGGCCGAGAGGGGCGCGGGCGGCGACGCGCCCTCGCGCCGGGCGGCGAGCTCGTCGGCGTCGGGGAGGAGCCCCGCGCGGACGCGACGGCATATGAGGGAGTAGAGCGCGAAGGTGCCGCCCTCGCCGTGGTCGTCGGCGCGGAGCACGAAGAAGACGTACTTGAGGAGCGGGATCAGGGTCAACGTCCAGAAGACGAGGGAGAGCACGCCGTAGATCTCCTCGTTCCCCGCCGAATGCTCGATGTCCCCGCCGGCGAAGGCGCTCTTGAACACGTACAGCGGCGACGTCGCCACGTCGCCGTACACCACCCCGAGGCTCTGGTACGCCAGCAGCAGCTCCGCGCTCCACGGCTGCAAGCCGCCACCATGAAAGAAACCAAGAAACCGCCGTCACCGCGGTGCCCCCGACCCAAAACAAACAAACACCGAATCTTCCAGACGGAATCCAAGAAAACGGCGGGGGGCTACCCCACTCACCTTCCTGCGCGCCGCCCTCGCCGCGCCGCCGCCGCCGCTCTCCGCGTCCATTCCCGCCCTTCCTCTGCCTCTCCCGGTCGCTAGCTCACGCGCGCGTCACGCTGCCCAACTGCCAACCGCCAGGCGCGCAAGTTGCCACCTTCGCCGCGCCCATACGCTTGCGCGCCACCCCCGCAGCAACACGGACGTCGAATCGGGAGCGGGGAAGACAAGATTTCGGCAGCAGCAGCGGCAGGCAAATCCCGTTTTGACAGGATTTCTCGGTGTGGACTTTGGGGAACAAAACAGCGGAAGCAAGCCACGCACGCTCCCTTCTTGTAGCTTCTCGCTCGCAAGAACAAGCGAGCAACTACCAACTCGTGTCCCGGCCCCTCACCACGCGGTAGAAAAGCAGCCCGAAACCTCCATTAAAAAAACCCGAGGCGCATGGCGCACGCTAGGCGGCCGCTAGGACAGGAAAAGGGACGATTTGGAAGAAGCGAGAGCGGGCCAACCGGAGGGGACGACCGCCTGCGCAATTATACTCTTCTACCAACCCCTTCGATTCCTTCCGAGAATCAGGAGGGCGAGGCTTCTACTTATGGCCGCGGAGGTCAGCGAGCACTGACGGTTGGCCGGAATCGCGGGGGCGGGTGTCAGGTGCTGCGCAGCCGTATCGGGGGCGCGCAAGGTGATCTGCGGTCGCTCTTTTTAGGCTCTTGCATGCCACCGTATGAGTAGTGGGATGGATCGATCGATCTCCGGCTGTGGCTATCGGTCTCGCTTTTCCACGGTGGAACTCACCTGCCACTTCCTCGTCTGCTTCTTTTCGTGCGATCTGGCGATGCCTTGCTCAAGAGGAAAACGTCATTCTCTCCCGTCCATCAAAGTCATGGTGAGATGAATAGATGATGGGCGTAATAATCCATTAAAACCCCATTGAATGTGAATCAATGTGGTAACGCTGGAAAATGGTGTCCTGATTTGAAGATGGCCTCTCTGGCGTAATAACGTGATCAAGTTTCTGTCATTTCTCGGCGGATTATTTGGGCGTCCTTTTTATGAAAGTCAAAGCGGACATAAACCCGGGATCTGCTTAGTCTAATGGCGAACTGACAGCTCTTGGCGGAGATAAAGAAGGGTCTCTTTCTGAGTTTGGTTCGCGGCAGGCGGTGAAAGATGATAACTTGGATGCTGATGCCCGTACTGCTCGTTGAAGCGGCGGGCAAGGAGCCACGGAACGCATGCGTTGGTACGTGCGGAAAAGGACAATGAAAGGATGATGGAACAGGGGCACCAGTCTCATCCGTTCGCCTGGATCCGTATGTGGACGGTAGCCAAATGTCGGCTGTAAAAATTGCAGTCATGTACTCGTAAGGGCATCCCCTGACCCCGCAAATTTGCTCTCAGACGGATATTGATGCCAAAGACGGCCATCATCTAACGCTGACCACGCGAATTAACTTGTGATTGGATGGTTAGAGAGATTGTGATATCCTCGGTCCATTAGGGTTCAAGTCTCGGTGTTCGCATTTATTTTTATATTTATTTCAGTATTTCCGGCGCTGAGCATTTAGTGGGAGGAGACATTCTTGTCGACGACGTAAATTTCAAGATGATATGCCAACTCAGTTTTTCGGAGGTGCTTATAAGGGTAGGGTGTGCATGTGTGTGTTCCTAGGGATGAGTGTATGCGTGTGTATATGAACGCTTGTGTCTGTACTATGTTAAAAAAAACTAGCGCTGACCACATACATTTCAAACACTGTTTTAACTAACCCAATGAAATTCATGTAAATATGGTAGATTTTTATATAAACCGGACGAGATTAATTATATTTCAAATATATTTCATACAAACCAAACGAATTCATTACATTTTGAACAATTTTTAACTAAATGCTATTCTAAATGATCGCCGACACCCGCTCCCTATGTCCGGCCATGAGCCCTGGGAACTGAAGCTCCAACTCTTGTCTTCGTCTTCTCCAATTTCGCCTCGGCACTCTCCAATTCTGCCTCCACAGCCTCCGCCACCGTAGCTTGAGCGGCTAATAGACCAATGATTTTTAGCTTGCCAAGCTTGGCTTCAGGCGGAGGGGAAGAGCGGTGGCCTTCCTGGGACTCGAGCGGCGGCGACCTACCACGCACTGCTTTTCCTCGCTGTCGAAGGCATCTGCGGACGTGTCGGCTTCGTGGTCCTGGCGGCGGAGTGCTGGCCTTGGCGGAGCCGGCGATGTCGTCCTCATGGTCGCTCTTCCCCATACCTCGTTTGCCGCCTCGCCCATCTCCTTGTAAGCCTCCAGTTCCCCTCGGCCTTGGTACGTGCGGAAACGACAGTGAATGGGTGATGGAATGGGGGCACCAATCTCATCCGTCCACCCGCATCCGTATGTGGACGGTAGCGAAATGCCAACTATAAAAATTGAAGTCCTATACTCCTAATGCATTATTATTTTTGGTATGTCGGCTCATATTTGTTTTTGTGTGTTTGCTACGCATAAATTGCCTGGATTCAAAAGGTAGGCGACGTGGTTGGCCACAACATCAACTTTAAAAGGGAGA